GGATGAGAGGAAGGCAGCGGGCTTGGCGTAGCCAGTTCAGCAATGGCCACCAAGACGCAGGATGAGAGGAAGGCAGCGGGCTTGGCGTAGCCAGTCAGCAATGGCCACAAAGACGCAGGTGGTCTGGATAGGTGTGTGTATTTGGTTCATAGAGAATTTTTTTTAATCTCATTTTGATCAGTCTTGTCAGCGATGTTTCCAGGTCCCTCTACTTACTGCTGAGTTAAAATGATCCCTCCCATGTGGTTGTTTCCTTTCCCTTGCCCTTAGGCCCCGACAGGGTTTGTAAACTGTTGTCCACTGGTCCAGAGAGGGGAGAGTGGAACTAAGCAAGCAGCCAGCTCACTTTCTGGTGTTCTGCTGTAAGGTCATGTGGAGTCGGTTCTCACTCTGACCCGAGAACAACAGAGTCCTGCTTGGGGGGGTCCTGCACCATCCTCTCAGGTGTTATGTTTGTGCCCATTGTTGCAGCCTCTGTCGGTCTGTCTTATCTCAGCCTTCCCCTTTTTGGCTGCCCCTCTATTTTACCGAGCCTGATGTCCTTCCCCAGGGACTGGTCTCTTCTGACAACGTGTCCAAAGTACATGAGGTGCACTCTCGCCATCCTTCAAGGAACATTCTGGCTGCGCTTCTTCCAAGACAGAGTGATTTGTACTTTTGCAGTCCATGGTACTTTGAATATTCTTCACCCGCACCATTGTTCACATGCATTGATAACAGATGTCATTGTATACGCCTGTTTCTCTGGTGGCTGCCTTTGGATGTCTCGATGCTGTATCTAGAATTACATTTTCATAGTCATGTTTAGCTCTGCAGGATGAGTCTAGTGCCAGGGCCACACAAGTCTACAGACTCCCCTGCGGGAAAGCATGGCTGGCATCTGCAATCGGAAGGTGAATCCCTGAGTGGATTCACCCCTGAGATGGAGATTCTTGGTGAGGGAAATGCTGGCCTCCCGCCTCGTGTGGTAAGCGTACCCTGAGGTGACCTGTGTGAAATGTATTTTTCAAAGTATAGTTTTTAATAAAAGTTACTACACGTATATAAGGGGGCTTCCAAAAAGTTCCTAGAAAGTTGGAATCCAAAGATTATGGATGTTTTGCACGTTTCTGAAGCCCCCTTATATACATTCACCTCCAACTCCAAAAGTCTACCATTGAGTTGACTGACGGGGTGGCCCTATAGGACAGGGTTTGAGCAGCTGCACATCTGTGCAGGAGCAGACAGCTTCAGCCTTCCCCTCAGTGGCCGGGGGGCTCCAGGGCTGACCTTGCAGGTAGCAGCTCTCACTGTGGCGGCCACCAGCAGGGCTCAAGAGCGGGTTTTAATGAGCTAGTCATGGCAGTGAAAGGAACGCCTCGCCCCTTTGGCGAGCCTGCATGGATGCACACGCTGCCACAGGGCGCTTCCACCTGTTCGTGCGCTTGCCTGACATCCATTCCCTTCTTGCTGATCTGTGAGGCTTAGTTCACTGGCACCCCCACTTCCCCTATCCCCGTGCAGCTTAGTTGTGCCGTTATTTCCGGTCCTTCTTGGTTACTTCGTCCTTCTAAATCTCATTCTCACAATCTAGCTTCTTGTTTGAGATTTCCTCTGCTGTGTGTGTGTGTGTGTGTGTTGGTGTGTGTGTGTGTGTGGGTCTGCCTGCCTCACTTTGCTTTCCTCTCTGTCACCTGTGCCGACGCGCTCCCAAAGTCAGTGGTGGTGTAGCCCAGCTGTACGGCCTCCCTTCTCCTTGATTTCCGCGTGTGAAGGCTACGGCATGGGCTCAGACAGAACGGTTGTGAGGATGACCTGGGGGCTTCTGTGCTCAACCCACCCAACAGCACAGGTCTCAGGAGGGCAGGGAGGTGGACAGGTGCAGCCTGCCCCCATCACAAACAAAGTCAGCAGTGCCTTCAGATGCCACCTTCGGTAGGTGTCCGTGTTCTCCACGTAGCCCTCCTAGAAAATGTCTGGTCATTTCATAAAGTACACAAAGTGAATTTTTGTAGAAATTGACTTAAAATTGAGCTCTTCAATGTCTAGAATCAAAGCAGAAGTTCTTGTTGGGCATCACTGAAGGTGTAGCTAGAGCTTTCACTAGAGTGGGCGCCCTTCGCAAGCGTGTGTGTGTGTGTGTTTCTGAATGAGAATGCATGAGGAGAAGCCAGTACCAGGGCCCTCTGCCTGCGTCCTATGCCGCTCTGCTGTAAGAGGCCCTGGAGGGGCTGTGGGGTGAGCTTGGGGCTGGCGGTTCAAACCCACCAGCCGCTCCTGGGGAGGAAGGTGAGGCTGGTGGCCCTGTAAAGCCGCCTCACAGCCTGCAGGTTCTGAGAATCCACTTGATGACCGTGGGTGGTACGAAACAAGTCAAATGTAGAAGTTGCATTGCGTGTCCGTTTATGTTTGTTCTTTGGGGTTCTGTTACCCTATAACGATGCTGTATTTCCTAAAACTTGTAAACATTGGTGCTAAAACTGAGTGGCTTAGTTCCTTACTAGTTTTTTGTAATGACCCTAAGGTTGTTTTGTTTTTTAAGATCTTAGTACTTTTTAATTCACTTTCCAAAAGAAACCATGAAATTGGCTTTTTATTTAAAACAAACCCGACATACTGCCCCTGAGCCCTGTGCAGCCTGGCAGACCCCGGGGAGCTGCTGGGTCCCTTTTAAAAGCCTGCTCTTGTGGAAGCCAACTGCCACGGTGTGCTCCATGCAGCAGCTGGTGGGTTTGAACCGCCAACCCCAGCTCCACAGGGAGATGCAAGAGGGAGTCTGCCGCTTACATCTGGACTTGAATCTGAGACAAGTTGCGTGTGGCTGAGAACTTCCCTGACTCCCCTTTCCCTTCTTAATCCCCACTCACTCGCAGGCCCCAAGCCCCCTTCTTCCTCTCACCCTCACTCAAGGGACAACTGCCCCTGTGGGTTTCCGAGACTATCGCAGAGTAGAAAGCCACCCCCATTGGCTGGTGGTTTCAGCTGGCCTTTTACTCTGCCCCAGGCCTCCTGGCCAGCACCTAGGACTCGGGGCCCTCAAACTACGGCCCGCCTGCGGGCTACGTGTATCTGGCCCTCCGGGTGTTTTTGTTTTTTTACTTCAAAATAAGATATGTGCAGTGCGCATAGGAATTTGTTCGTAGTTTTATTTTAAACTAGAGTCCAGCCCTTCAACGGGTCTGAGGGACAGTGAACTGACCCCCTGTTTAAAAAGTTTGAGGACTCCTGGCCTAGGTGTAAGGAAAGCCAGTTGAGGCTGAGTGAATTCAGGGGTGGGGAGGGGCAGGGCAGGGTGAGGTTGCTAATGAACAAGCCTTAGCTGGTGTTTGTGTTTTCGTTTC